CAGCTACAGTAGGGGAGCTGTGTGATCAAGTGATGAGATTTCCTGGGGGTCACCTCTTTAGCAGTCCTGAGTTTCAAAGCATCACAATCAGGCCTTCTAGAAAGAGAAGAGGACAGGTCCTAGGTGGCATGACCCTGGAATCTAGCCTTTTAACCAGAGAAAAGGAAAATGCTTATGAAATGACCCCAAGTTCAAGAGTTTGGGAATCTGGCCTGGGAAGGACAGAAGCAAGGAGCTGAAGTCATGACATGGAAGAGCAAGGAATTTGAATTTTGCATTCCTCTATTACATTGAGTTACAGATAGTATGGGTCTGATGGCAAGCAGGTCACGCTGTTTAGCAGCCTCAAGTGTGGCTTGCTTCTGGGAGAGTCCAAGCCCTCAGGATAGTAGCATAAGGCTGAATGTGTAATTCCTCCTCTGGGGTACTTCTCTAATTTGACATTTTCAGGTCTTGGGGTCAGGTCTCAGAGATGTAACTACTCCTAGGCCCAAGGGTACTCAGTGGGTCTGCCCTCCTATAGGCCCCCATCAATGAGTTTACTTTTAATATTCAGTGAGTAGATACAATTAAATCAAAGCAAAGACATTTACTAAAATGGGATAGTAAGAATAGTAACAACAGGGCAAAACATTACCCTCACAAACCTGGGGCACATTCTCTCACAAATGCACACAGCATCAGTGTGGAAGAGTGGGCAAAATATTAGAATATACTTAGAATGAGGCACACACATAGGCAACACATATGGTGAAGACCTCTGGCGTTGCAGTGGCCTAATGTCCATTTTTTTCTTTTGCTTAGGCAATTGGGGTTAAGTGACTTGCCCAGGGTCACATAGCTAGTAAGTGTCAAACGTCTGAGGCCACATTTGAACTCAGGTCCTCCTGACTCCAGGGCCAGTGCTCTATCCACTTCGTCACCTAGCTGCCCCCTAATGTCCTTTTTCTTATCATGGTGTCTCCATACTATTTCCCTATGGTACAAAGTCTTTACTGGGCAGGTCCCTGAGTCCGCTCCACCCCACAATGATATTCTCTGTTGCTAGGACTAGTTCTCTCCTGAATCAATAGTTGGCTCTCTTTTCTGCTGCTAGAGGTAATGATCCTTGAAGCTGCTTCCTGCCCTGACTCTTCTGTGTTTGTGTCTCTCCTCTCTTCTAAGTATGTGTCTTGTACTGGTCATACTCTGGCTTCCTTTTACCACTATCACCTCTCTTCTGGTAGAGAAGCAGGGGTCATACCACCATGTAAAGCTGATCCTGCCTTGACTGTGACTTAATTTTTTCCAAGACTGGAAGATTTAACTTTTTTTTTTTTAGGCAATTGGGGTTAAGTGACTTGCCCCGGGTCACACAGCTAGTAAGTGGCAAGTGTTTGGTCTGAGGCCGGATTTGAACTCAGGTCCTCCTCACTTCAGGGCAGGTGCTCCATCCACTGTGCTAACTAGCTGCCCCCAACTTTTTGTTTTAAAGACCACTTGGATTATCCAGCCAATGGCCAGCTGCCCTTCTAATTCCACCTTTGTACTTCATTTTAATGTATTAACACTGTGCAATACCCATCTCGCTGCTACATGTCCCTTTCTGTGATTTTATCAATTAGGCTTGGGAATTCAATTGGTCAGGAATCAACTTTCTAGACCCCCATCTTGATGGGTCTCTGTGGAGTGAATGAGGGACATACTGGATTGCAGGGAAATTGCCTAGCAGCTTCAAGTTCATTTTCCTTTAAACCTCATAATAGCACTATTGCGGAAAACTTTAGGACCCTGAAAAAAGTAGGATTCATTGGAGAGGGAAAATGATTATGTTTATTGCTTATGGGCTCCTGTGAATCCTTTGACTTTTCTATGGGTAGAATAAAGATTCTGTTGTACCTGACAGGTGTAGTTTTGCCTTGAGTGCTGAGGATATAGGGGGACCTTGTTATCCATATCTGTGAAGACCTAGACACAAGATGCAGGATTATACAGCAGAAACTCTGAGTTAGGGCATAATGAGCCAAAGCCTAAGTGATCTTTTTTGGGTGGACTCCCAGACTGGAACCCAGACTCTCTGAACACAGATCACGGGTCCCTGGTTCATGTGTTATACTAACAAGTAATTGAAGGTGAGGTTCTCAAGTTCAGGAGAAATATTATAGCTGGATCATAGGTTAAGAAGTCACCTGCATAAAGATAGCTAGACTAGAACTTGGAGGACACCATACTTACGGAGTGGTAGAAAGATGAAGAACCAGTAAGGGACACTAAGAAGGAACAGTCCAACAAGTAAGAGGAGAATTAGGAGAGTTGTGTTCAAGAAGCCCTGTGAGGAAAGAGTATTCAGGAGGAGTCAAATACTACAAAAAAGTCAAGGATGATGAGGGCTAAGAAAAGGCCAATGGAACTAGTAGTATCAGAGGACAAATAACAAGTGGGTGAGGAGTGAATGGGTGGTGAAGAAGTAGAAACTAGGAGTAATCTTGTAGTTTAACTTTCTTTTATGTGTTGTCTCTTCCCATTATATCTTAAGCTCTTTGAGAGCAGAAGTCCTCTCCATTTTTTTTCTATTTGTATTCCCAGTACGTGGCACACAGTAAGCACTTAATAAATGCTTTTTTACTCATCTGTTCATTCATTCATTCAAGAAGTATAGGCTAATCTTTCTGAAACTTCAGGAAGAAAGATGTAGAAAACTGGCTTGGGGAAATGGTAATGGTAAGGGAGGGTTTTCTAAGCATTGAGGAGACCTAAGCATGTTTTCAGGTATTGCAGATGGAACAAGTAGCTAGATATTTAAGAGAAGACAGTGAGAGGGTATGGCTAATGGAGCAAACTCCTGAAGGAGGTAGGAAGGAATGGGATCAAAATTAGGGTTGGGGAGGGTGTTAACCTTAGCAAAGAGAGGGAACACCTCCTATGACATTAAAATAAATGAGGAGGGTAGAGATGAAGGGTTCTTGAGTTGTAGAATGGGAAATATGAGGGCACTCATAAGGACGGCTTAAATCTTCTGGGTTAAGTAGCATTCTGGGTTTTCTGCTAAGAGAGAGAAGGATGAAGATGTAGCTAAGGACTTGAAGAGAGAGAAGATTTGGAACAGCCACTCCAGTAAACATCATCTTCTGTGAAGGTTTTAGGGAAAGACATGGCGAGAGTCACATAGAACGGGAAGACCCAGAGGGGTTGAAATAAAGCCGTGCTGGTGGAGGAGTAGCATGGACTCCAATGAAAAACAGAATATTAGTGCTGGATGTGCCCTTAGAGATCACTTAGTCCAACCTCTTCATTTTACAGATTAGGAAGCTAAGGTCCAGGGAAGGGAAGGAATTTGCCCATGGTCAAATGGTAAGTGGCAAAACACTTCTAGTTTGGAACTAGAATCCTGACAAAAATCCATAGATCCATCAATTTACAAGATGAGAATCAAGAAATATCACTGTATTCCCTAGCATATAATGTTCGCTTAATTTATAGAAGTGATAACAATGTCTTTATATTTTGTTTTTCCATAAAGCAGAAAGTACCTTAGAGATATTCTCATTAATTTTCACATAATTCCTAGAAATAACAGCTCATATTTCTACAGTGTTTTATGGTTTACAAAGCAATTTTCTCATGACAACCCTGTGATGTAGGCAGTACATCACAGTGTTATCCCCATTTTACAGAGAGAAAAACTGAAGGTCAGTGAGGTGGAATGACTTGCCCAGTCACCCAATCATTAAGTATTGAAAGGAGGCCTTCTGATGCCATGTCCAGCACTTTTTCCATCATGTTATAGATAGGAGAGAATTAGAATGTGAGTTCTATGAAAGCAGGGACTGTCTTGCTTTTCTATTTGTAGCCCCAACACTTCACATAGCACTTTGCACATGGTAAGTGAACGCTTTTTTCATTAATTAATTAATTCATGACCATTTGATAAATGAAAAACCTGAGATAAAGAGATGCTAACTGTCAAAATATGCCAAAGGAGGCCAGGTCTACAGCTAGAGCAGTTTTCCCTAAAGGAGGTAGTGCTGTTATTTATTATCAAATGTTATTTAATGAACATTCATGTGGATCTGAATCATAGTATCTAAAGCATCCGGGGGTGACGGATTTTTTTTTCTACTTTTACCAATGCAGATCAGCTCTTCCTCTTCTATATTTAGAGAATGGCTCGGACTCTGAGAGATTAGGTGACTTGTCCGGGACATGTCAGAGGCAAGACTCGGACCTAGGTCTTCTGGACTTCAAGGTCAGCTCGATATCTACTATACCAGTATTTCTCAAAGTGTGGTTTGGGGACCACTGGGGGTCCCTTAGGTCCTTTCAGGGAGTCTTCAAGGTCAAAACTAATTTTTGTAATAATACTAAGACATGTTAATTTCTAATATGGTAAATATTGATAGATATAATCCATATAAACAAAAGTTCTTCATGTGTGTATGTGTATGTGTATGTATGTGAAACCTGAATAATTTTTAAGAGTGTAAAGGGGTCCTGAGATCAAAAAGTTTGAGGATTACTGCATTACCCTATGCTATCTCTGTTACATTATGAGACTAGTATTTTGACTTGCAATTCAACATTCAATTAAATTTTTTTTTCTTTATGTTCTATGGTTTAAAAAAGGGTAGTAAGCCCATGAAGGTATCCCAGAATAACTATTCTATCATTTCTCTTTTTAACTTACAGGGAAAAAGTAATGTAAGGGTGACAAGAAGTTTAAACACAATTTACACCAGTTTTGTTTTAAGAAAATTTTTCTTAACTTTCAAATCAAGAATGGGAAATGTTAAATTGGATTCAATAAACACAAATCGAATTTCAAAATAATCTTCAATTCCATATTATGGTCTATTAAAGGATTGGGGGCCAGAGAAGAAGAAAGAAAAGGGTAAGAGTAGAATAAATTCAGAGGGGAGGAAGAAAGACTGACAGGGAGAAGAAGAAATGTGAAAGATGAATGAATGGATTAAGAAAGCATTTAAGTGCTTACTATATGCAAAACACTGTACTAAGTGATGAGATACAAATAGAAAAGTAGTTCTTGCTTTCAAGGAAATCACCTTCTAACGGGACAGAAAACACATATGGAAGCTTTCAGTGGTAAGTCACGTGGAAAGACCCCACAGTCTTTAGGCCAAAGCAGATGTTAACGCCTCTTTAATCATGCCGTTATTTAATGTCACTCTTCCTAGGGCTCTTGAGTTCAGGTTCCTGGATTGATCCCATCAGGGGCTGAGAGGAAGTGGTGGTCCAAGTGCTGGTGATGCCTGGCATATGCTGTCTCCTGCCTCTTGCTTGCTGTTTCAGCTAGATTGGCCTACCTGACCCATGTGTGGCAACTGTTTGGCCATTGCTGAAGATGGTTGACCCCTTCTCCACAGGAGTTGCTTGCCCAGATGATGGCTGTGAGAGCTGGGCTGGAAGCAGCCCTGCCACTCCCAGAGCTCCTCTGTCTGTTGGTGGTGGTTAATCAGCAATTATCGTTGGTCATGATAAGGAGGAAGGATCCTGTCTCCACAATGATGTCTCCCCTCTTGGATGGCTGTAGAAGTTGGACCACAAGCAGGTTTGGGGGGCACTGGTAATTCCCAAGGCTCTTGGTTTCAGGGTCTTGATTTCTGTTCCCACTGAGGGCTGAAGCAAGATGGTAGCCAAGGTTGTGGTTTAAATTGCCTGGACACAGATAAATAGAAATTGTAGAGTGAAAAGGAGGGAGGATAGTATGAAAGAGAAAGTGCTAGAGAGCCTCAGAGTTCAGTAGATTCTGAATTAGTAAACTAGTTCCATCATATGCTGCTGTTCATATGGATGTGTGTTTCAGATTGCTGTCATCACATCTAACCATCAACTGTTTACAAATCTTCCACTGTTTTTGGCCTGTGGCCTTCCACTGTGTTTGGACAAACAGGTGTCAGCTACTTTTATCTAGTCACATGTTTAATTTAGTTGGTGACTCTAGAAAGAAATCATACAAGACAAATTTTATTACAAGCAATATAGTTAAAACGCAATAAAAATTCATCATAATTTTTTTCAAGCTCCAGCTATAACACATAGCAAAGCAGTTGCCTAGGACACACTAGGTGGATAAGAGGGCACAATGAAGAATATTCTTTAATATTACTCTTAATAAATGCACATCTTTTTAATGCCAAGAAATACTGCTCTCCATGGTACATAGGTAAGTATTTTGTGATAATTCAAGTCACTGGTGTTATATTGAAGGCTCAAAACCTCTGGGGGACAGTAACCTACTCAGGCGTAATTTTCCAACCTTGGTTGGGGTTCACAAATGCCTTGTCTTGACTCTGTCCCACAGTCATAGTGCTCACACTGAAGAGAGATAAGATTGGTTCTGCTTTGCCCTGGAAGGCAGAAATAGGACTAATGGATAGATGTTATGGGGACACAGGTTTTTGCTCAGTATTACTCATAATTTGCTAATAACCTAAAATGCTATATTTATATATCATTTTAAGATTTGCAGATCAATCTCCTGACAGCAGCCCTGCAAGATAGGTAGAGTAAGTATTATTATCCCCATTTCATAGATGAGGAAATTGAGGTTCTGAGAAGGTTAATGACTTGTCTATGATCCCATGAGACTATATTTGAATTTAAGCTTCTTAACTCTAAATCTAGTGCTATATCTACCATATTATTTATCTCTCATCATAAGGAAAAAAGTTCTTAACAAAAATGGCTAGGTTTGGGGTGAGGAGTTGGGGAGGGAGGAAAGAATAACATAGTAAAGAATTGTACCACTGAAAGCTTTTATTTATTTTTTTAAAATTTAATTTATTTATTTTTAGTTTTCAACATTCACTTCCAAAGATTTTGAGTTCCAAATTTTCTCCCTATCTCTCCCTTCCCTCCACCTCAAGATAACATGCAATCTGATGTAGGCTCTACATATACGTTCATATCGAACCTATTTTTACGTTAGTCATATTATAAAGAAGAATTAGAACCAATGGGAGAAACCACGAGAAAGAATACACACACATACACACACACACACACACACACACACACACTCACAAGAAAAAAAAAGAGAGAGCAAATAATATGCTTTGATCTGCATTCAGACTCCATAGTTCTTCTTCTGGATGTGGACAGCATTTTCCATCATGGGTCCTTTGAAGTTGTCTTGGATCCTTGCATTGCTAAGAAGAGATGAGTTTAACGATGGTTAGCCATTGCACAACGTATCTGTTACTGTGTACAATGTTTTCCTAGTTCTGTTCACTTCACTCAACATCAGTCCATACAAGTCTTTCCAGGTTTTTCTGAAGTCTGCCTGCTCATCATTTCTTATAGCACAATAGTATTCCATTACATTCATATACCAGCATTCCCCAATTGATGGGCATCTCCTCAATTTCCAATTCTTTACCACCACAGAAAGAGCTGCTAGAAATATTTTTGTACATGTGGGTCCCTTTCCCATTTTTATGATCTCTTTGAGATACAGACCTAGAGTGGTATTGCTGGGTCAAAGGGTATGCACATTTTTATAGCCCTTTTGGCATAGTTCACTGGAAGCTTTTAAATAGAAGGCTAGGCTAACCACTTATTATGGATATTGTGGACCAGATCCATGCTTTAGATAGGATTTGGATTTAGGTGATTCCCAAGGTCTCATTCTACTTGCAATTCTATGAATTCATGACTATAAGGTTGGTTGGTTATAATGACATTCACTACTGCAATTAATTCAGTCCAAATACATACCTTCCTGCCCAGCCCCCCATCTCACCAAGCCCCTGGAAAGGACTTCCAGAATTCTTGGACTTTAAGTAACTAAGTCAAAAGCATCACCTTTTAAACCACGTATTAATATAATCCAGGGCCCTAGGCCTCCTAAACTCCTAAGCTCTGTTCCCTCTAAGCTTCTGGTTCCTTCCATTGCTAGTACATTCCTTCTAATATTATTTCCAATTTATTCTGTATATACCTTGTTTGTACACAGTTGCTTACATGATGCTTTCCCATTAGATTGTGAGCTCCTTGAAGGCAGGGACTGTTTTTCCTTTCTTTGTATTCCCAGCACTTAATACAGTGCCTGGCATATAGTAGGCATTTAATAAATGCTTGTTATATTTGAATTATTGGAAGTAATTTCAGAGGGAAGGCACTAGTGGTGGGGATAGGGATGTGGACAGGGTGGGGTGGGGGATTGACCTCTTGGAGAAGGTGGGATTTGAGCTAAGTCTTGAAGGAAGCCAGGGAAGCTAAGAGGCAGAGATGAGGAGGGAGAGCATTCCAAGGCATGGGGGGGGGCAGCCAGCAAAATAGCATGGAATGGGGAGATGGGGGACAGGAAAGGTGGGAGACATCTCAGTTATGAAGGGTTTTAAAAGTCAAACAGAGGATTTCTATTTAACCCTGGAGGTAATTGGGAGCCAGTGGAGTTTACCTAAAAGAGGTAAGGGAGGTGACATAGTCAGACTTGTGCTTTAGGAAGATCACTTTGATAGGTAGGTGGAGGATGGAATGGAGTGGAGAGAGACTGGAGGCAGGCAGACCAATCACAAGGCTTTTTGCTATATTCCAGGTATGAGATGATAAGAGCTTGCACAGGATGATGGCAACGTCAGAGGAAAGAAGGGGGCATATACAAGAGATGTTACAAAGGTAGAAATAACAAGACTAAGGGACTGACTGGATAAGTGGGGTGAGAGGAAGTAAGGAGTTGAGAATGACACCTAGGTTTTGAAGCTAGATGACTGGTAGTATCGTGATGCCTTCAATGGTGATAGGGAAATTAGGAAGAGAGAAGGGCTTGAGAAAAGAAATATAATTAGCTCAGTTATGGACATACTGAGTTGAAGATAATTAATAGCTTGGCTCGAGAGATTCAAGACTTTGCCTTAGGAAAAAAAAACTCCTTGAATTAGAATGGGCCAAATAGAAATCAATGACTCCATGAGGCAACAAGGAATACTACAACAAAGCCAAAAGACTGAAAAAATAGAAGAAAATATAAGTTATCTCATAGTTCATTGACCTGGAAAACAGATCAAAGAGAAAAAAATGTAAGAATATTAGACTACCTGAACACCATCACCAATAAAAAGAGCCTAGGCATCATATTTCAAGAAATCATGAAAGAAAACTGCCCAGATCTCTTAGAACTAGATGGTGAAGTGGAATAGAAAGTATTTACTGCTTTCTGAAAGAAACTCCAAAATGAAAACTCCCAGGAACATGATAGTCAAATTCCAAAGCTTACAGGTCAAGGAAAAAATACTGCAAGCAGCCAGAAAGAAATAATTCAAGGACTGAAGATCCAAGGTCAAGATTATACATGATTTAGCATTCACCACTATAAAGCAGAGGAGAGCATATAATACAATATTCCAGAAGGCAGCTCATATAGGCTTATAGCCAAGAATAATTTACCAAGCAAGATTGAGTATAATTCTACAGGAGGAAAACAGTTCATTAATTAAATAGAGGACCTCCAAGAATTCCTAATGAAAAACCAGAGCTACGTAAAGACTTTGATATTCAAACACAGGAGTCAAGAGAAACATAAAAAGATAAATATGAGCAAGCAATCATAAGATACTAAACAAAGATAAAGTGTTTACATTTTCTTAAGGGGAGATTTTAGATATATTCCTCCAGAACTCTATAATCATTAGGGGCCATGGAGGGAGTCTAATTAGACAAGGCCTGGGAGTGGTTTTATTATGTCTCAATGATCTTAAGACTAGAAAGAGAGGGCAAGAGAAATACATTAATGGAGAAGGGAAAGGAAAGTTAGGGAAAATCATCTTACATTATCAGGTTGCACAAACAGATTTCTATGCAAACAAGGAGGAGGCTGTGGGGTGAGGAGCAGCTGACACTTGAACTTTACCTTCATCTGAATTGGTCTAAAGAGGAAAGAATGTACTCATACACACACCGTTACAGAAATACACTTCACTCAACAAGAAAATAAGAGGGAAAGGGGGAAAAGAAGAGGGAAGGAATAATAAGGGAGGGATTAGTCCTAAGTAAAATAAACTCATGCTAAGGGTATATAAATATATTGATAGCACTTTTTGAGGTGGCAAAAAATGGGAATCTGAGGGGTAGCTACCAATTGGGGAATAGCTGAACCATGGTACAGAATTGGGATAGAATATTATTGTGCTATAAGAAATGATGAAGGGAAGGGTTTCAGAGAAACCTAGGAAAACTTGTATAAACAGATACAGACAAAAAGCGAACAGAAACAAAAGAACAATTTATGCAATGATAACATCATGTTAAAGACAAACAACTTTGAAAGAATTAGGAACTCTGATCAGTGTAATGACCAACCACAATTCCACAGAACTTATGATGAGGTATGCTACCCTCATCTGATAGGGAGGTGAGGGACTCTGAGTACAGAGTGAGACATTTTTTTTGGGCACAGCCAATTCAAAAGCTTGTTTTGCTTCACTGTTCATGTTTGTGGCAAAGGTTTTTATCAGTCAATCAACCAATAAACATTTATTAAGCACCTACTATGTGCCAGGCACTGTGCTAAACTCTGGGGATACAAAAAGAGACAAAAGACAATCCTTACCCTCAAGGAGCTTACAATATAATGGGGGAGACAATATACAAATAAATATATAACAATCCCAGCTATAAATGCAGAAGAAATAGGAAATAATTAACAGAAAGAAGCC